CCACAATGTCCAAAAATCAGGGCTTGTAAACGTTATAATAAAATTATGATTATAATGTTATATTTGACAAAAACCAATTGAGATTTGTAACGTAATTATAACGGAAAACAATAAACATAAGTAGTTAAATAACACAAAACAAAACATAACGATTGACAAAATATATTATGATATATCACAAAACAAAACATAATTCAAAACTTTAAATATAGTATATCATTAAATAAAATTATTAATTTCCAATTATTTAATAATTATAATTTATAAAATTTACTAAAAATGTTAATTTTGAATAACGATAGATTCAAAAGTTGAATAAGATTTTAATTCTGAATAACTATAAACTCAAATTTGTATAACGTTTTAATTGTAATTAACATAAAACAAAATTTTTTTTTCAAATGTTAGCCCCACCAAAAATACAAAAATAAAATAAAATATAAATTGTATATGAATATTTATTAAAAATTAGATGCAAGAAATTCAAAATAAAAATTGAAAATTATTAATATATAGTTTCCAAAGCTCATTTTTGAAAGGTAATACAATGCGCAAGTATTTAGGAAAAAATACATTTTGAATTCAAATTCACATCTTAGACTAATTTGTATATTGCTTAACTTTCAATTAGTGCAGAACAAATAGTGAAAGAATATGGCCGTGAGGTGATATGATGACATAATTTAACCCGTTTTCGATAGACATATTTTTTGAATAGACAGTATTATATAACTTATAAATTATACAGACTATATAATAGCTTCGTCACGAACATCGTTATTACATTATACACCATAAGCGTTTGTACACATGGGCGGCAAGCATCACTATAGCTGCCAAGTTTTCGGTCCATTTAAAGTTTGCCGATACGTGGTCCGGTAAAGTTTAAGTGTATTTGAATCTCTTTGACATACCCTTACCTCCACCAACCTCTCAGCCAATGCTCCACCAGTATTCGTTCAACTCACCCCACATGTTAGCGGTAGATATTTTTCCCAGAGGAATTTTCATCCACGTTAAACGGATCAAATGCTTTACTTCGTTTTACATTATTATGTATAGCCTTATTGATCAAACAATCCTCCATAAAAATCATCTTAGTTTAAATATAATAACTTTTATTTTTACCTGTTCAAAAATATTTTTTTATAAAAAAAAATGTAAGTTCATGATATTATCATTATTGTCTAAATGTAATTCCTTAGATTTTATTTTAAGTTTATTAGCACAAATTATTTTTTTAATACGCATATCATATAATATAGTCGGGTTCCAGATATTAATTTTTTTTGACAGATTATTTCCGTCCCGGAATTTTGGACTTAAATTACTTATTGACTTAAATGTTTAATGTCACTATTATCGAACTTATAATTAGATTAGGTTGTGGTTTGTCGTTTAAATACTGTTTATAATATACCCAATATAAGTCAAATTTTTATAGGTACCTACTTGGTACATACTACATATATTCTCATTTTTTCTACCTAAAAATATCATATCTAATTAAAATGTAAATCTAACATCCTTACTGATGAAATCATCGAAATCAGTGATCTTAAAATTAATATTGTGCAGGCTTGAACAGAAGAAAAAAATATTCGAGTATCAAAGATAGTTTTACATTTACTTAACATAAAGAATTATGTAATCTTATCAAAATATTCAAAATATGATGGAAATGTACAAAAGTTCTTCATTATTCAGCATAATTTTGAACATCGTCATAACTCAGTCTAACAGCAATATTATTACGACAAATTTTATCAGTTTTTTAAAAATTAAAGCCATCAAGAATATCTATGAATGACTTGCAAAAATAATGTGTTAAAATAGCTTTTCGTTTACTATGACTGATGTTTTACTAGTAGATACAATAAAATATGTATAACAACCGTCCACTAATTTTTCAAAAATTCTCTAAATTAACGAAAAAAATAAAAAATACATAACAAAGTATCAAAAATTAATATTATTAATTTATGACTAATAAAACAAAAATAAATATCTTATATCGGTAAATTATCAAAATAAAATAATGCTATATTATTTTTGTCAAAGAAAAAACAGAGTATATTATAAATACATATTGTGATATCTATATGTAAAGTTGTGATGTCGTTCCATTTTTTTTTTTTATTATTTATTATTCACTATCTATTATATAAAAATTATAATTATTTGCCTCCGAAATTTTTATTATTATCGAACGAGGCTACAAAATTATATGTTCATGCATTTAATTATTAGATAAATAATTAACATTAAAAATTAGACTAATAGATAATACTCAATTATTAATTAGGTGTCAAATGTCAAATTGACAAATGGACGTAGCAATAAAAAAAAAAAAAATAATAATAATAATAATTAATAAATATAAACATTATTAAAAAAAAATAATAAAATTTAAAAAATTACGAATAAAATTGTATAATAAATAAAATATTACAATTAATAATAATTATTAACGTAGTCCCCACCTCGGCTGATAAAATTCAAGAGAAAAAAAGTATTAATGAAGTTAAATATCATTGAAATAAATGTGAAAAAAATTATTATTTTATCACCAAATTTAAAATGTTAACTGATTTCTAAATCATTTGTCTCATATTAATATAATATATGTAATATAATACTTACATATATCATACTTTCAAATGTTGCTATTAAGGATGGTTTTGAAAAAACCATAAATAGGGTAGGTTTAATGGTACTAATAAATAAAATAATATCTCTTATATATAAGCGATTCCGAAGTTGAAAGACGTTGGTAACTTTGAACATCGATAACTCCGAAAAAATATTATATAAACTCACTAATAACAGCACTAGCATGGCAGTACATTATGAACCACAATCACTACAACATTTTTGTTTAATACGCCAAAATATAGTGGTAGACACGATATATTATAATACTTACTCAGTTTGACACAAAAACGAATGAGTTCGTTGATAGACAAATATTTTTTGGCTACTGTGCCAAACGGTTAACGAGCGTCGTATTATATGCGATGTTCTAATCATTATACTGACTGTGGCAGTGTTATTCGACAAACGTAAATGCAATGACCCGTAATTGTTATTACAAAATAATAATATACTCGTAATATAATCTTGTATTAATGTTTTAAAGTAAAAATAGTAAAAAACATTTTCCATATTTTATGAATCACAATAATAATTTGTATTTTTACATCAATAAAATTATATTTGATTTTTGATTTTTTTTTTTTTATTATTATAAGTTATAACTATAAAATTATCATACACTATTTTAATGTAAAAAATTCAATATTCAATGTGTCAATTCAATAATATACTCTAATAAATAAAAAAGTTTATGTTCAAAATATTTCAAATTAAGAATTACAGTATAATTAAATACCTACTGTAATATAATGATTAATGATAAATGATAATACCTACTCTTTATATCCAATGTTTGGTAATTATTATGCAAATTATAATATTGTAAGAATAACTATTGAATTGAACCAAGAATTAGACTCTTATTTTATTCATTCCAATATATAATTTTAATTTTTCTGTATTATCTACCATTATTTCAAACGAAATTCGTTTAAATATTACTTTAAATTAATGTTCTAAATAAAATCTAAACAATAACTTCATACGACATATTATTCTGATAAATAATTAATGTTTATATTAATAATTAATACCTAATACAACAAAATAAATATTAGTACATTTGAAAAAATTAACACAATATCAAACTATAATATGGATGATTTAACTTGTATAAAGATATCAAAGCTACAAAATAAAAAATAAAAAGTTTTAAAGAACATCAATTACCTACATAGAATTACATAAAAAAAGAAAACTCTAAAATAAACGATAATTCATAATATATAAACTCACTTATCACAAGTACGTATAAAGAACGTATAATTTTATTTTAACCCAAGCTTATGTATGACAAAATACTAGTATCAATATATAATGCTTGTTACATAGTTTTCTTTGATTTCAAAGTTTTATACGGAGATTTTTATTGTATACATTTTTTTATTAATATGCTTTATTAATTTTGATAATAAATCTATACTTGTGTAGATAATTACTATTTTATTATTTATTATTTATTTTAATATATATAAATCATAAATGTGATTACATTGAAATGTTATTTCTGATATATTTTTTGTTGTCCATTTTTGTCAAATTATATTATTGATGCATTTATAACAGGAAAGTCATTAAAAACTAATCAATGAATAATATTTTTCAATTTTTATGTAATTAAAATTTTTTATTTATAACTATTATTATACAATTTAAGATATTGAATTTTATTTGAACATGACGATAAATTTAATCAGTTATTATTTAGTGACAATCACTGGGAATTTGATTTCATTTAATATTGTTTAAATTTAATATGGATAATTTATTTTTATTAAGTTAACTGAATTTAAACTTAATTCTTATGAATATGTCAAAAATCAACATTTTTTACTATACACAATTACTAATAGGAATTCAATGGTATTTAAAATACTTATTTATAATAAATTGTTTTTATTATTGATACTAATTTTCTCCAATAATTCAATCTAAACGTTTTGTGGTAATTATAATCTCATTAATCTTCTTTTTTTTATTTATTATTAAAACAATAAAATTCTACATAAAGTACATACATATTAAATAGGTTGGCACAAAAATTTAAACAATTATTTTTTTTCTATTTTATATAAAAAAAATATATTTATATATATATATTTAAAATTCAAAAAATTAATGACTATATAAATACAAAATACATGTATACATGGTTATCGATTATAGTACTAATAAAAAACAATTAATGATTGTTTTATAGACGATCATATAATATTTTAGTGTAACTATGACTTATGTCAATTATCTTTTTGTCTATTAATATTTTAACCCCTTCCAATTAAGAAAAAAACTGACAACAATAAAAACAAATACTAAAATATCATATTAATCAAAAATCTACTTACTCAATTATAGCCGTCACATAGAGTATCCCATTTTCCTACAAATTATATTATATCAAAAAAATAAAATATTATGATTACCGCACAACGCCGCGAACAGTAAAATCAAATTAGATAACTCCTTTAATGAGAAAAAAATACCAATACAAATAAAAAAAAAAACGAAAATCCTTCGTAAGTTACTAACACAATAAACACGCGATATCTATACCGGGGCTAAACGCGAATAGAACCCCAACGATAACATGCACGGCACACGGTCGGTACGCGAAAACTGTCGGTGGTTTCCGCAAACCCAAAACCATGTTTCAAGCGGCGGCGAGTATTTTGAAATCGATTATCACCGTTCGCCATCTATCCTGAAACAATCAAACCAAACCGATTCAACACCTTCCTGCATACCCTCGTTTAAGTCTTATTAATCACCACACAAAACATTGTGGTTGATTTTATTATTATTATAGGATGCAGGTATATTTTTTTGCAGACCTTGTTCTAATTGTGAGGTTTAAATACAATTTTAAGGAGGAGAGGCTTAATTTTTATTAAACTAAATTAATATTTAAATATCCAAAAAAATATACACTGTCAGATCTCCTATACATTTTTTAAAAATTGTTATTTCCTTTATTAGATAAATATTACTTTCTTTTCAATAAATATAGAATACATTAAACATATAAATTACAGTTTAAAATAATCAAACAATTAATTTTATTAATGGAAAAATTGAAAAAAATTTTATTATTGACATTCTTTAGATTCTGAGCTCAGCAAAAATGAATTGACTTGACAAAAATGTATGTATTTTTTTTTTTTTTTAGTGATTGTCTAAACCTCGGAGATACTTTTTAAGATAAAAACAATTTCTTTGGTGCTCAACAAAACTTTTGTAGAATATAGGTTAAGACTGTTAAGAATGTTAAAGGTGTTAAGAGTAAAAATTAAAAATTCTCAATGTTTTTTTTTAAAATAAAATCAAAAAAATAAAATAAAGAAAAACAGAAGTTTTTACGAAAAACAAAGTTTTAAAAATCAATTATATTTTTCTATTGTAATTTAAAAATAAATACATGTAGAAACTTTAGTTTTTCAAAAAATATTTGTATTAGAATTCTTTAGACATGATATACATTTCAAAATATTTAAGTTCTTTTTATGCTATTTAAAGACATTTAAAATTTTTTTAATTAATTTATCTTATAAGGATATCATAAAATTTTTATTTTTAAATAAAATATTTAAAAATATAATAACAGCTTCTACGTAAGTTCTTCTTATTGCTAATAATTAATATCAAAAATACAATCCAATAATCCTATTGTTTCTTTAACACGTTTAAATTTCAAATATTTTAGCAATTTTATTGTTCACGAAAATAGCGAAAATTCAAAAATTATTTTATATTTATTAACATTTTCAAATTTTATATCTATGAGTTGAAAATATAATATATATTACAAGATTTTTTACAAGAATTTAAAAATAAGAAGTTTTATAAAGCCATTCAATTTTTTTATGAATTTTAAAATTTGTTAAAAGAGTCAAAATTATCAAAATTATTTTGTAGTCATAATATATATATATTTATATATTATTATGGGATGACAACCATTTTTAAATAACATAACAACTAATTTAAAGCGCGGGTAAAAAAAATTGTACATCTACAAAGAATATAACACTGCTGTTTTTAGCATAATGTACCATTTATTTTCTAGTTCTTGTAAAACCGATTGTGTCTAATAATTTGATGAAATGCGTCTGTGATATAGAAAAAATATTTACAAAATAATTATGAAATAATAAATGTTGTTCGATAAAATAATCATTCAAAACATATACATGATAAAATAATAAAACTCAGTAATTCTTTTAACAGTAAATAATCACTATTTCAAAAAGTGCTAACGGTTTTAAAATATTTTTTTCATATAATTTTAATTCTGAAATTTAAATTTTCTTTTTAATTTGTAATTTTTGGAATAACAATACATGTCAATTTAATAATTTTAAACATTTTTATATATAAAAATCAAATTTTAGACCTATGATTAACTAAATATAAGATATAAGTATTTAAAGTTAAGATAATTATTGTTATGTATTATCATCGTCATGCTATGAACTCTTGTGTCACTGATTCACCGTAATCTTTAGATGTATAAAAACAGTTTCATTTAATGTATGAGCCCTAAAAAGAAAAAAAAATGTATGACTTAAACTAAATATTTAGGTGATAACGGATTGATATGAACTAGTAAAATATTACTCCTAACATTTATTTCAAAGTAATTGTACTTCGTCTGGTAACTTTTATAAGTATAAAATGACATGTCTTGCGAGTTACTGATTCATAGTTGCCTAGCCGGAATCGCTGAAGCCTTAAGTATGCAATTTTATAAGTACCTAATTTATTCTATTCTATGATGTATAGAGACACACAAAGAATTTTCTGAAATTCATCTTCTAAAGAGGTTAAAATATGTAAAAAAAGAGTAAAGATAGAAAACGTTATTTATTAATCAGATTTTTTGGAAATTTAGCATACTTACTCTATATATCACAAATAATAAAATATTTTTACCTTATAAAAATATTTACATTTAACCAAGTTTAAGAAGTGGTAAATCGTCGTGCAATATCAGCTAGTATTATTATATAATATTAAAGTAAATTGTACATAATAAAAGAGAAAAATAGAATTTATAATATAAAATAAAATAAATGTTATGTCATTTTTGTTTCTTAAGTGTTTTTAATTTTAAAACTGTACACATTCAACAAAATATAAAAACCAATTATAAATAAAATCAATAGCTTCAGAATTTCGTTTTAATATACCAAATCTGGCTGTTATAGATTTAAATGGAAAAAGTTATTCATTAAAAAAGACTAATGTTTCAATAACAAAAAGAAATAGAGAAAACTTTTTTGCCCTTAAACGTTTTACAGTTTTTGTTCGTATTTTATATAAGTTACATATTTAACGACTCATATATAATTTTTATGTGATACCCCATAAACATGACAAGTTTTCTTCGTACATAATATTGTTTTAAGATAAGCGACATGTAAGGGCAAAAACAAAAATAATAAACTTATACATATACAGATAAGCATTTATATTATATAATATTCTATAATTTAAACATCGAATATTCTGATGATAAAACTTTAATGTGATAAACGTGACAATTTAGGAACATATTAAATGTAAATCTGTCAAAACAAACATTGAGGTTATCAAATTACTCGATTAAACAAATAAAAATAGTATACGTGATACAAATCATGTATATACACAGTTTGCTAAGCCGAATACATTTAAGTTTCAAGTTTAATATTTATCTTATAAGCAAGTTATAGACATAAAACATTAAATTCTAAAAGTCACTCTTTTATACAGTAAATATTGTTAACATTATTCAAAAAAATATTAACATTGTACGTAATTTTCTTTTTGAAAACCATAGTTTATTTTTTTTTCTCCTTAAGTTTATTGGTAATATTTCAACTAACATTAATTGGTTTTTAAATGGTAGTTTTTTTTTTTTTTTTTTGTATAGATAAATATCTAAGAACTGAAGATGCAGAATAAATTCATGGAATATTTATTTCAATATCACTAATTTTTTGAAACAAACAATAAAATATAGAAACTCGTCAAGAAAATGAGTGTTAAATATAAACGGAAATAATTCATTAAAATCGAAAAATCCAATGATTACTCCAAATTTATCTACTATAACAAGTATTAAATGCATACATATTACGATCTATCTCGATCTCAATAGTGAAAAAAAAGTCAGCTAGAAAGCAAACAATGTTAATTAATTAATATTTTGAGTATACACTAAACGCAAGTTAAATGTACAAAATGTAATTATAATTTTAGACTTGAATTTAATGTGGATGAGGGCATTGAGCAGATTACTAAGCGTTATGTTTACTTCATAGAACTAGAAATTTAGATGAAGTGATTTACAAATTATCATTGAAGAAGAGTTTACCAACTAAAAGCACATTATATTATATTATCTACAAAATTAGATCGATGTGTGTACTTATGTAGATAGATATTATTATCCATAATAATAAATTGAAAATAGTATATCAATGAACCATCAAAATGTTTTGGTATTACAAAATATCGCTATATTTAATAAATTTAAAAAATAAAGATAGTATACATTTGCTGATGTCGAATGATAAATTTTTTCTGCGTATGCAATATTGAATATAATTTTAAATTTATGAGTAGCACTATGTCCACTATTTCTTGATTAATAATATTATACATTATGCTATACACAAAACACTGATCCATTTTGAACTGTGCATTATATCAATAAATAATAGTTTTGTTTGTTTATTTTTTTTTTCTAGAGCTAATAATACAGTTAAACTCCAATTGTTTTAAAATGTAGTAAGTATTTATCGTATAAAAATTTTAAGTCATATAGTGGGCTATTTTTAAATGTTTAAGTATACCATAAAATATACATATTGACAATTAATGATATTAAATATCAGTTTAGTTTTAATTAAATCCGAAACTATTTATTTAGATTTAACTTATTTATTTTATTTTAATTTTTTAAATGATAATTAGAATCCATCACTATATTGCTTTCATTTTTTATTACGACATAAAAAGTTGTAAGTACGTTTGAAATTGGTGTTACCATCTTTTAAATCTAATGAAGTGAAAATAATTAATTTATGTGTATTTATTCAAAATGTATTCAATAGTAACCAAAAATTATAAAAAATTACAATTGTATAAAATGCATTATTATAATAATTTTAAAATGATGAAAAAATAATTCTTAGTATAATTTATGCTCATCTTACATCTGTAAGTTCATTTTTTAATAAATATGAGTAGGTTTACTATTAACTTCTCAACTAATTGCAGTTTCAAATTTGTTTTTTTGAATATTACAAGGATATTCGAAAGATTACCACTTTAAAGTGCCATTCAATTTTGTATTAATTAGTAGGATAACTACACGAAACTTTCAATGAATTTTTACTGCTATTATTTAAAAAAAAAGAAAAGAAATTACCTTCTTATTATATCTAAATTTGAAAAAGTAATTGAAAACAATGAGATTATACCATACAATTTAAAAATATCCTTCATAATAATACTGTTTTTCAAGCGTCTGAAACTTTTAATTTACCTTTTAAATAAAGAAGCATTGTATCAAATTAAAAATGTTAATTAAATTCTTGATAATACTATTTGAAA